CTGAGGATCCCCACAGGGATTATAATTCAAACGACAGAATTTGCTGTTGCCATTTTCAAGATGGAAACAATGAAAATAAACCAACAGTATTGTATACAGCATAAATGTTGGCTCCTTCCAAGATGTACTTTTATGTACACCAAGGTAAGTAAGTTTATTACTTTTTTTATAAATTTACTAAACCATTAAATTCGAAGACTCCGCGATGAAGCAGTGGCAGTGACAGAAGTGGTACAAAAGGGGGGATTTGATACTTATTTATACTTTTTCCACCAAAATATATGTCAGAATGCACCAAATAAATTATATTTTTGCAACATTTGCCATCACCTGCATTCATACAATCTTTTCTTTAAATAATATTCAAACACAAAACAATTTAATCTATGCTTTGAGACCTCTTTTTTTTTTTTACAAAATTTGGATTAATTTACTTCGTAATTTGAGACTAAATTTTTAAAAATTAAATTTTTTTCATTACATTCAAGAATCAATGTAAATACATTTCCACTGAAAATGTGAAATTCTTTAAATCAAAATTGTACACTTAAATTAAATTAATTTAATGAATGGGTTCTGAGCACAGATTTTGGAGCTTTGGATACATGTCCTGCAAGAACTTACTGTCATATATATAACATAAGATTTATGGGATGAAACGTTATGTACTCATGTATTAAAGAAGTGTGTTTATCCCACAACTATTATTATGTTATTTAATCACAGTGTTCGGTTGGAGTTTCGACATATTATGTTACATAGCATAATGAATCAGAAAGAATTATTGATCTATCTCTATTCGGATATTTGCTAGAATGTTTGATGACACTCATAATACAGGAACCACGTGTCGGACATAGATAAAAAAGATAAAAAAAAATCACATGAAAGCTGTAGTCAATAATAATTAATTGTAAATTCCAACTCCATCTGAGGTGAAGCTCTTGAATAAGAAGCATTCAAAGTTTTAAGAAATTTGCATTTTATTTTCAAACCTTGAAATATACCACCCTACCACCTTCAGATTATTAAAGCCCTTATTAAAAGTAGTGTATGAGCTTATAGATTGGTCGCATGGGAATTCCCCATTCCATTTCATTTCATAGGGAAAATGCGACCAATATATAAGCTACCCAAAAAGACCTAAATTCCCTACATTTCATAAATTCTTACACATAAACATCCTACATTTCATAAATTCTTACACTAAAAAATACCCTACATTTCATAAATTCTTACACTTAAAAAAAGACCTAAACACCCATACACCCTTAATAGCCTCGTTTAAGTAATGTTATTTTTAAGGGAGATAACTCTTTTTTGGAAACACAATTTTCTACTCAAATTTTAAACCTTAAAAATGGCAAATAAAATACTAGATCCAATCTTTAGATTATACGATCCGATTCGTTATTCGTTTAACAAGAAAAAAGAGGATTATATTATCATCTCACAGACTGTTGGTTCTAAATCCCAATTGAATGATGGAGGTAGAATTACCTTCGAAATAAATTCATTATCGAATTGGTTGCTTCTTTCCGGTGCTTATTTCAGATGCGATTTCAAAATAAAAGATGGAACTCCCAATGAAAATCGTGTACCACAAACAGATGCAACGTTAGAAACAATTTCTTTCCATCTTTATTTAGCGAAATGGTTTTGGAAGCTGGTTCAAATCCGATAGAAACAATTAAACACCCTGGGGAATTCGACACAATGTTGAAAACAGTTTTATATCCTAAAGATTTCGATTCAGTCTCGGGTTGGATACCCGATGTTGGTGATGGAATTGTTTTAAAAGAACCGGTAGGAAATGATGCTGATTTAGATAGAGTGAGAGTTGTTGCTCGACACACGATAGAAAGAGTAGCACGAGCAGCTAAATCATGGATTCGAAAAACGAGTACTTCAGTTCAATAATATTGTTGAGAATAATAGGTGGGGTAATTACGTAAATTGGAAATTATATTCTTTATTCGGTCTGTTGGAACACAGAAAAGTTTCCATAGGCTTACCATATAACATTCATATACAAAGAGAAATCAACGATGATAAGATATTCTTTGGAGAGAATGGTTCAGATGCAAAATTAGAAATAACGAATCTCCAACTTTTTATACCCGTAATAACACCATCAATTGAAGTAGAAACGAGAATATTCAACTCGTTAACTAAAGATATTGAAATAGCTTTTCTTCGTCGTAATACGGTAGGTAGTGTGACTTTAACTGGAGAATCCACCACGTGGCCAATCACTAACACTATTAAACCAGCAAGATATTTAATGG